GTCCATATCCTTTTACACATGGTAAATATGCTTGGACAAGCAACATGGATTCAATTGAATTTCAATTCATATCTTTGTGAAAGGGTTGTCATCAATTATCAAAAAGGGGGAGATTGAAAGCTCTAGTTTGATTTTGGTGAATTAATAAAACCCTAAGTGCTAACCTAGTTTATCAAGTGATCATAAGATAGGTAGCACACACTCCAAGTGGTGAAGCAAATGAAGATCATTGCATGATGAAGACGATGCCATGGTGATGATCAAGTGCTCGGACTTGGAAAAGAAGAAAGAGAAAAACAAAAAGCTCAAGGCAAAGGTATAAACCATAGGAGCTATTTTGTTTTGGTGATTAAGACACTTATTGAGTGTGATCACATTTAGGATCGATAGCCGTACTATTAAGAGGGGTGAAACGCATATCGAAATGCGGTTATCAAAGTGCCACTAGATGCTCTAACTCATTGCATATGTATTTAGGATCTAGTGGAGTGCTAACACCCTTGAAAATGTTTGTGAAAATATGCTAACACATGTGCACAAGGTGATACACTTGGTGGTTGACACAATTGATCAAGAGTGGTGAAGTTTGGGTGGGTAAGAAACAAGGGTAAGAAACTCCCACTAGGGAGTGACGACGCCTCGGTAGACCGGTCAGAAAGTAATGAAAAGACGCAGCCGAGGTCGAACCGCGGCGAAGTGACCAACAAGACGCCTTCTTGACGCTTGGCCTCACGTTAGACCGACGCGTCCGGTCGTCGGTGTAACAACGCGTCAGTCACCGCGTCCGGCGCGACCGGAAGCAAACGAATCGGACGCCTGGGTACCACAGGTCGCATGGGGCTCAGAGGTGGCCCGGATCAAGGCGCGTGCACATCAAGATTACAAGTTGTACTAGATATTGTAATAGTACCAAATTGGATACTTTACTTGTAACCTTGTCTCTTCGGAGTATAAGGAGAGACGACATGTTAATCTATATAGATCTCAATACAATACACCAAAGACACGGGGCGTAGGGTATTACATCGACCAAACGGCCCAAACCTATCTAAATCATTGTCTCTGCTACCTTGTGTAACATCCGGGGGCACGCATCCTACCGATAATCTACCACCAGATGACTATTTCATCGACGGTGGTGACCGGACTTTGTCGGCATGTCCGTCAAGTCCATGACCGGACGTGGTCCGGTCGGAAAAATGTATCATCCGTTTGGAACCTTCCAAGAGATTGAATGGATACGTTTGTTGGCCAGTGCTTGATCTCTGACATGCAAAGCTAACTTGCATCCAGACATATGCATATTTCTACAAGCCAATACAAAAAAAAAAACGCGGTGTGGCGCGTGCAAGCCAACTTGCGGTCACCATACACGCAAGGCGATTAATCAACCACAAGGACAAATACATCTACAAGACAAATCGTCACGAACAATGCATTGAAGCAGGGGGACACGTGGCGTGAATCACATGATCGGACATTGAGGGCCGACCACGCGTCGACCGATCGATCGGACCACCAAACCACGTCCGTCCCCACCTCTGAGCTCCGACCACCTACCCACGTCGCAATAATGAAGGGAACGGCGCTACCGTGACCACCGCATGGCTCTATTTCGAGGGGACTTCTATTTAAGCCAAAGATAAGTACACTTCTAATATTTATATCAATATCACTCTCTTGGCCATTTACATTGACATAGCAACCTTGTGAGCTTAGCCAAAGCCCTCCCACTCATTTCCATCATAGATTAAACATTTTTCTTCCTACGTGAGATTGGGAGAGAATCCAAGTGCATTGCATTAAGTGTTTGCATCTAGAGGCACTTGGTGTTTACGTGTTTATCACATTATGCTCATTTGCAAATGATTTGCATCGCTATTTCTTCACCGCAGATTTTTTTCTCCATAATTTTTACTCTTGGTGGTTACCGCCACCTTTCGAGACAAATCTCTCGCTCCTCGACCTTTGGGGAGGCTCGGGGACTTCGTCTCTCGCCTCGATCGTTGAGCTGAGGACTTCATCGCCGCTCTCCTCATGCTCGGGACTCGGGGTGATTGTCTCACACTCTTTGCCGATCACGATCGTGGTGATTGTGAGGGGTTCTTGACCTTTCGACCGGGGGGACCGCCCACTCTCCAAAGGTACTCTAATGGATTGCTCGTGGCTTGTGTGATCCTTATCTTGTGTTGGTTAAAGCGGCACCCTATTGAGGGTTTGGCGTGTGAAGTCAATTAGCTGCGTGAACCTCCAAGTGAGTGTATCGCCACACTTCAACGAGGAGTAGCTCTTTTCTTTTTCTTCTTAAGAGCACCATACATTCTTCTTGGACAACCTACTTCTCCGCAAGCAAGTGAACCTCGGTAAAAAGGTTAAAATGGCGTGTCGCATCGTATTGTGTTCATCATTTGATTCCGAGGTGATTGGTCTTCATTGTTATTCATCTTTGTGATTGATTGGATCCTTCCTCAAAGACACACGTAGGGTATAACCTTCTTGATCACTCTCTTTACATTTCCATACACGCATCCTAAACTAGTTGTCAAGCTCTTTAGTGTAGATAGTTGTGAGAGCTTGTATACTTGGTTGGTCCTCAAAGCTCTCTTTAGCTAGCCTTTGAGAGCACACTAACATGGAGTAGTGTCATACTTGAGTGTTTGCATCTATTGTGTGAATAGATTCTACCTAAACTAGAATTGTGGTAGGTGGCTTGTATTTTTGAGTAGGCTAATGCGCTCGTGGCTTGTGTGAATCTTGTGTTGGTTGTCGCGCACCTATTGAGGGTTTGGCATAATTGTCTAATCCTTTTGGTTAAGTGTTGTTGTAGAAATTTTTATTAGGCTATTCACGCCCTCTAGCCATTAGGACCTTTCAAGTAGGAGAAAAAAAATCTATAATTTTGCTTTAGTTTCTACCTAAAATGGTTGTCTCTGAGTAGGCTTTGTCTCATAATTGTCTACAAGTGTTGTTACATATTTTCTCCACTTGTCTAATTACATAGTTATTTTTCGAAAATGTGTCTAAGTACACTAGCCTTTACATAGCGTGAGTTTCTAGAAAATGATTTTCCTCATAATCTGATGGATGTGCTCTACTTTTGGCACGTCATTCCTTTTTGGCTTTTGAGTTCCTAGAAATGATTGTGTGCACAAATCTTAGGATGTGAAACACAAAGTACTAGTATTGTTCCCTGGGGAGTATATTCATGTAATTCTTTTGGTGGTTGACTTTGCTGGATATGATGTACACAAACATACGGTGTACAAGACAAATTCATTTGGTGCTTGACTTTGATGGATATGATGTACACAAACATACGGTGTACAAGACAAATTCATTTGGTGCTTGACTTTGATGGATGTGATGTACAAGACAAATTCGATGTTATATGTATTGAGCTCCATGTGATATGTGTTTGTGTATCTTCATGTGATATGTGGAAACTATATGAGCATTGAATATCGTTTTGACATGTGCTAAAAATTGTATTTTTTCTATATTAAATTGTTCTGTTGAACAGTCTGTCGCTGTAAATGTATAGAGTGTTGGATGATCTAACGGTGAATGTGTGGTAACAGATTATCTGTCACTAAAGAGTGGCAACAGGCTATCTGTCACTGTAAATATTCATTGTAACAGACTATATGTCGCTAAAAGTACCATCTGACGCTAAAGATTTTTAGCGACAGGACTTACAACGTCTGCGTAAGTTTGTCGCTGTAACTTTTTAGCGTCAGTTCGTCTGTCGCTATAGCCGCTTTTAGCGTCAGTCGTTCATCACTAATCTTGGTGTTGTGGTGTAGTGCTACCAGCAAATGCAGGGAAAACTCCAACTTGCAACAAAATTTTTAGTGCACTCATAGATTACAACCTGCAACATGTTTTGCTCGGATCTGGGTTTTCTGAAAAAAAAATGTTTTAGGAGATGAATTAGAACCACTTTATGAAACCATTAAAAAAGAAAAAAAATTATGAAAATGTTTGGCTAGCAGACTGGATTCTAATTCATAAGAAAAATATTTTTTCTTTAAAAAAATTATATAAATAAAAATACGTTCAAAAAATCTAAATTTTTAGGTGAAGAACAACTTAAATACAATACATTTTAATTTATTATATTATATAAAAAAATTAGTAGCACATGCGGAAGGGAAAAAGAAACATGGTAGAATCACTGTGAAACAACACTTTGGCCGATTCAGGACCGAAGGCAAAGGATGTGAAACGATTTCTGGGTATTGGTTGGGTTTACAGTGGTGGAATCTATCCACCTGGGTTAAGTTTTTGACTTTGGCATGGGTGCTCGTATTTTTCTAGATTTATTTCAGAATTTAACGGCGTTATATTTTTAGTGGTAGGCGACGTCCCCATCGATAATAGCAAGGCGTCCACGGTGACTTCGTGAATCTCGAGATCTACCGAGATGCTCATAGAGTAAGATTTATGTACGTGTATTTATAAGAGTGAGTGTGCGTACATGTCGTAAGCATCTACGTCGTACTGTGTAAATCTTAAAAAAAAACATTTCGCTCCCAGAGCGTTTGGTGCCATTTCTAGTGATTCCCCGGGGAATCCGAATCGTTTCGCACAACCAAACTGTCGCTTGGTTATTCAATTGCTAGTACTTGCTCAAGAATCTGAGATTGGATTAGGACAAACTAAACAACGAACATGTATCAGTGAGTCCACAAGATAAAACAAAACAGATGGCCATATTATTGGTTGATTACAGGTGACAGGTGCATTTCTTATACTGCCCAAAAGTATACTCCCAGAAGATAATGACAGTACCCTACTACTACACATCAGGCAACTAGCAAGCAGCTTCACAAAACATCTACCACTGAGCTACATCGGTTCAGACGGGTTTCACGTCGTTCTAGCAACCGAAGTTCTCGACGTGCCACACTGACGTGGTTCACCCGTAGTGCTACAAAAGTTGGGATGCCACCGACAGCCTCATTGCATCCTGCTTGTCTGTTGCACGAACTCATCATCTTTCATGTACTTCTCCTGCACTTCTGCTGTTGTATCCACACGTCAAGGAAAGAAAGGCAATTTGCAAGATATTGGTGCACAAGACCAAGTGCAACAGCATATATTCTAAGGCATATGTAACAGAGAAATACTACTGCAGATTTCACAACCCAACACAGAAACAGTAAGCTGACAATAATTCAGCATACTTGGCTGCAATTCCGCATAGTTTGACTTGCGATCCAGTCACCACATGCTTGCTGCAAAATTTAATGGCATGCAAATACATGATATGCAAAGGAAATCTAATGCTTAGTCCATATTGTCAGTATATTATACCTATGCAAGCAAGTGGTTTGATAGTGTGCATCTGGGCCATTGAAGATAACACAGAAATTACAGGCGGTAAAAGACTTGTTTGCGAAAATTATTAAAAGAACAAGTAAAGGATATCTGTAATAGTCCCAATCAAGAGGCGCCGCTGCAATTTTGCTGAACTCAACAGCGCTACTGTCAATAGAAGAAAATATATATCCGTTGCTCTTGTCAATCAGCTTCACAAGATTGCCAACACTTTCCTTGTCCTAGAGGCCACAAAAGCTTGTAAGAACTAAAACAATGAGAAATTTGATTTTAATAGTCTTTCAAATACAGACCTGGATGTCCAAAGTTGAAAAATTGACTAAACCAAAATCATCAATCACATCACAGAGCTCCTTAGTCAGTTTCCTGTTAGCAGGTTCACTCGAAAAGGTTATAATCAGACAATGTAAAGGCTCCGCATTGAAAACAGATAATAGAAATCTTAGCATATGACCAATGACATTGGCATACACTGTGAGCTGTTTAGAGGTTACAGAATCTGAAGGTCCTATTGGTGGACAAGAACTGTAGTCATTGATTTGCAATGAATGAATAATTATCCACTAGCAACCTAGATTTCAGCATTTGCTCACATATCTTGAACCCAGTTCTAGATTTCCGCCTTTGCTGAAATAAAACTTACTTCCTCGGTTCCAATTTATAAGACATTTTGGCTTTTCTAGATACATAGCTTTTGCTAGACACTTAGATATACACTATGTCTAGATACATAATAAAATTAATGTATCTACAAATGCCAAAACATTTTATAATTTGGAACGGAGAGAGTAGTAAATCTCCCGTGGAACAGGGTGACTGCAAGATTTTTATCTAGGTACATTAGATGGTAGCTAAACCTGAACTCACAAGGGAGCAAGAACTAGAAAGTGGGCACTGCATTTGTTTCAATATTTGGTCAAGTGAATTGGAGACATATTAATAATTCATGTAAAATTTATCAAGTTCAATTTTTGAGCAAATTGAAGTACACGTACTACTAGCTGTTGCTGTAACATTTGTGTTCAGAAATTCACCTGTACTTGGCTGAGCGAGGATCCTGCTCAAGATGATATTGCAAATAAGAAAGATCTTGGACATCAGTGTAGAAATCAAGGTTGAATGCTGCCAATCAAGAAGATGAATAAATACTATAGTAAATACATAGGAGTATTGATCAATAAAAGATGGTGTGGACATCCAATTCCATGAGCAACAATAAATGTTCAAATGACAGGAAGATCGAAAGCACCAAATACCTAAATTTCCATAGTTCTCAATGAGGTCAATCTTTGACAAGACATTGATATGTGGCAATTCCAAGTGTAGCATCGTTGATAGTGAAAGAAGCAAAGCACTGACATACTTTCCAGGATCACAGCATAAATGGGCATCGATAAGGTGAATTGCAGTCAGCTGCAGAATACAGAAAAAAAAACACTGAACAATCTAGTTCATTAGCATTAGAATGATCTAAATAGGACGAAGAGCACACTCATACCCTCAAGTCCATCTTTTGATGAGTTTATTAATAACACTTCTTGCATTTGAGTGAAGGAAGAAAAGTTCCACTTGGCCAGGAAAATCAAATAACAGATAGTGATCTGCAAAAATGTTAAGTTTTCCAGTCAATAATGGGTAAAAGAAGTACAGTTTGAGCAGTATGACTGTTTACAATGTTCAGTGCTCACCTACTATGAGTCTATGACTTTGAACACTAAGAAATAGCACAATAAACAGCAGAAATACTTTTAAACAAACTGAGGTGCAATCCTCAGGATAACAGAACAGGGTTCATAAAAAGCTAATTCTAATTCCAGTTGGATAATTAGTCTATTAGTATTAGTATATAATTGGTTCGATCCAAGCACAAAGAAAGCCTTGTGTAAAATAACAAGTTTATTGATATTAGCAATTAAAATTTTTTCCATCAGATGCTCTGCAGTTTGGGATATGACCATTATTACAGATATTGCCACTGAAGATATCTGCATACTTCAGAGAGGTATTCGTTACTCACCTTCAATAAGAGGCTTCAGTTTTTCTTCAAGCCAATCAATATTCTTCTCCAAGTAATCCATGCAATACACAAGCCCTGACATAGATTTTAACACCACAGAGAAAGAAACCACATTCTTAGAACAAAAGCAGGAAGGTTACTGAACAGCAACAGGACCAGGAGCAACCTCCATTTGGGCCAAGCGAATGCTCAGCCATGACATCACTGAGTTTTATGAGGTCCTCAATGTTGATGGCACATTCATATCTATTTATCACTGTCAAGAAAAAAATTCAATTGCGACCAGAAAACATCAAGGAGAGAGACTATGTTATAAGACATTAAGACATATAAGGGAGTGAGTACAGAGGAAAAAGGTGGTGCTCAAAGAGTCAAGGATACGGCAATGCGTCATTTGCAGGATCCAAATTGACAACCGCAACTTTCCTGCAACAACAACAAGAAAACACATAAACGAAGCAATCCGTGTGAGCAAACTATCAACTTCAACTTCACTCCAAACCCAAAACAAAGACAAGGGTGAAGTTTAAACTCTCAGCACAATTTCTGGTACCAGCAATATGGTACCAGTTAACATTCACGATCAACCTTAGCAGAGCAAGGCACTATTACTGACTTCCGCAGTTACTACTTACTAATCCAATCAGGCAATCACGCAGCGGGTCTCCAGGTAAGTAATATATGCAGTAAACAGCAAAGTCAAGGCCAAGCGCATTCCACTTCCACTTAGCTAGAGAAGTTTGTGAGGGACAACCGAAGCAATAGTGAGGAACTAGGCGGCGTACGTACCTGCCGAGGAGGGAGAGGAACTGCGACATGCCGTTGCAGTAGGTGGTCTTGCCGGAGCCCGGCGGGCCGATCACCACCTGACCGAACACCATCCCCTACCCCTCCTCTGCTCCTACAACGAGTTCCCCGCTCGTCACCGATCTATCTATCCACGGCCGCGGGCGCCGGGCAGGTTAGGGTTTTCGCCGGGCAGGGTACGCGCGGGCGGCCACGGGCGGCGAGGTGAGGCGAGCCAAGGACAGTTCTAGAATCGCAACTCGCAAGGCGACAGACAGAAGAACGCTACGGCCTTCGGGAGCTTGCTCGCCTTCACGTAGCCCTGCTTCATTGGCCCAAAGGCCCGCTATCATACACGGCCCAGTAAAATAGCTTCAGCGTCTGTGAGCGCATATGCTGCCGTTCGTCGCGTCGGGAACGCATGCGCCGCCTTCTCCCGCCGCTCGCCGTCCACCCGCCGCCATGCCTCCCAGCACCTCCTCCAGCCTCCGCCGGCGGAAGCGCCCTCGCCTTCCCGGAGTTGATTCCGCTCCTGGAGCGGGCCATCTCCACGGGGGACGTGCTCCGTCTCGGCCGCACTGTGCACGCGCACCTCGTCAAGACGGCGCTCACCAGCCATACGCTCCTGTCCAATCGCCTCGTCGCGCTCTACTCCCCGCTCCCGTCGCCGGCCGCTGCGGTCGCGGCCTTCGACGACCTTCCACACAAGAACGCGCACTCCTACAACACGCTTCTCGCCGCGCTCTTACGCATGCCGGGCACCCTCCCCGACGCCCTCCACCTGTTCGACACAATGCCGGCCTACTCACGCAACCTCGTCTCCTATAACACCCTCATGTCGTCCCTCGTGCACCACGGGCGGCAGGTGGAGGCGCTCCGCGTGGTTGCCCGGCTGGCCAGGGACAGGTTCTTGGGGCCAGGGTTGGCCATGGATCGGTTCACGGTGGTCAGCGTGGCGACTGCATGTGCGGGAATCAGAGCTGCGAGGCCGCTGCGGGAAATGCATGGCGCGGTGGTGGTATCAGGGATGGAGTTGACCGTCATCATGGCCAATGCCATGGTGAACGCCTACAGCAAGGCTGGGAGGGTGGAGGATGCGAGACATTTGTTCAATCAGGTCAGCATCCGAGACAATGTCACTTGGACGTCGATGATTTCTGGGTACTGCCAAGTGAAGAAGCTCGATGAGGCAGTGCAGGTGTTCGATATGATGCCAGATAAAGATAGGGTTGCATGGACAGCACTGATTTCTGGGCATGAGCAGAATGGAGAGGAGGACACCGCTCTTGAGCTGTTTGAACGGATGCTGGCCGACGGAGCATCTCCAACGCCTTTTGCATTGGTGTCAGCTTTGGGTGCATGTGCCAAACTTGGGCTTGTCACACGGGGGAAGGAATTGCACTGCTTCATCTTGCGACAGAGCATTGGTTCTGACCCTTTCAACATTTTCATCCACAATGCACTCGTTGGCATGTACTCTAAGTGTGGGGACATGACGGCTGCCATGGCAGTGTTCCACAGGATGCCTGAGAGGGACTTTATCTCTTGGAACTCCATGGTCACCGGGTTCTCGCATAATGGCCTGGGAAAGCAGTCACTTGCTATTTTTGAGGAGATGCTGGCAGCTGGAGTCCGTCCAACCCATGTCACTTTCCTGGCTGTCCTCACGGCCTGCAGCCATTCGGGTCTAGTATCTAATGGATGCCTCATTCTCGAATCAATGGAGGACCATGGTATTGAACCAAGGGCTGAACACTATGCTGCCTTCATTGATGCTCTTGGTCGGAATCGGCAGCTGGAAGAAGCAACTGAGTTCATCAAAGATTTGCCATCCAGGATCGGTCCTGGTACAGCTGGGTCCTGGGGAGCTCTCCTAGGTGCATGTCGCCTTCATGGAAATATCGAGCTTGCAGAGGAAGTGGCAGAGTTTCTCTTCAAGTTAGAGCCCGGGAACAGTGGTCGGTATGTCATGTTGTCAAACATCTATGCAGCTGCAGGACAGTGGGATGATGCACGTCGAGTCAGGGGGCTCATGAAGGAGAAGGGCCTTAAGAAGGATCAGGCTTATAGTTGGATTGAGGTGCGGAGTGCAAAGCATGTATTTATTGCTGATGACATGTCTCATTGCGATGCAAACGAGATATATGAGATGTTGGGCAAGCTTCTCGACCATATGAGCATAGCAGAGGATCCTACCGAACACCAGCTTAATTTTTGCTGACATTTGAGAGAAACCGCCCATGTATAAAAAACATTGCTCTGGTGTTGCCAGAACACTCACTCTGGTATGACGATGGTAGACGAGGTCCACTGCGTTGCCATCAGCATCCTCATTCATTGTCATACACTCTGTTAAACCTTGTGAGACTGCAAAAATAGCTCCAGAGTCCAGGGCTTCTGTCCGTGCAGAGTTTTTGAACCTTCAGTTCGAGAGCTCAAGTGCTCAACGAGGTTTACCTAGAGAATGACCTGCAGTTGATTCAATGTTCCAACTCTTGAGTCATGGCATAATCCGTCAGGCTTCAACCACAGCAGAAGCTGCAAGAGTTTGATCCATTTCAGTTTGAGTTCCTTGACTCTGCACTGTGCTGTCGGCTGATCTTTCCCTTTCCTTAAGAAAAAAACACTGATTCTTGAGAATGATGATTCTATGTTAGAAGGTTCAGAGAGATTCTGATTTAGTTAAGTTTGTGGCCGTGGCACCCTGTGAGCTGATTTATCTATTGTACAAATCGAGGGAAATAGTTCTGAGCATCAAGATCTTGTGTGAATGGTTCACTGAATGGATAACTTGTCTTGCATATTTGCTGCGCAGAAAATATATGGGCTGTGGTTGAAGAGTTCTATTGCTGAAAGATTTTGAAGGCCTCTTTCTTTCAAGCTAGAGGCCGTTTGTGTTTGTGTTGGAGCGCTGGAAGAGGGGGTCTGTGAAGCATCTGTCGTGTTCTATGCAACAGTTGCCACTTGCTGCTGGCGGGCACTCAGTTTGAGCGTGCGCCGAATGTGACTCCTGCAAGCCTGCAAGTTGCCATCCAACCGGGTTGAAGGTTGATGGACACTTGCACTGGTTGCAGCAGCAGCAGCAGAGAGAATATGGAAGTGGGGCACATGGAGAGAATGTTGTTAGGTTGATCTCTCCACCAAGATTGGCCCAACGGTCAACTTGGGCCTTGATCCCGCGCCCTGATCGGGGGCGCCCAACCCTATATGGTTGGTGGGCCATCGTCGCACTACGCTATATAAAGAGGTGGGGCCGGTGGCTCGTAGTACGAGGTTGACCGCAGCCACAGTACCCCACCGGCACAACCCTAATCCGATCTAAGGGAGTGCATCAGCGGCAGGAAGCGCCGCCACCGTCCTCCTCGACTCGCCGCCGCCTGCTGCCGCCGTCACTACTGGACTCGTCGCCCCTCTCCATCAACTCCAACTCGACAGTGCCTTCTTCATCGACGCCATGGCCAGCTCCTCCGACAAGCCCACTGATGGTCGGTAACACCTTCCCTCTTTCATCCTCTCTCTCTCTCTAGTTCATGTTCTAGGACGGATCTATGTGTTCTATATCAAATAGAAGGGGTTCACCCGCTAGATCTACTCTTAGATGATCCTACAGTTACAACAAATGTAAGCACTGATGCACACACATAAACGCCGCAGCAATTGGATAAGAAGGGGCCTGGATGGATGAAGGAACACATTGAGCGATGATGGCTGTTATATATTGGGCGGCACTGTGCTGTGTTGACAGGGCAACAGAATCATGCAATCCACATTCCACGGCCAGTTAGAGGTAATCTTCTCACCAAGTCACCATCAAGATTAACCAGATCATCATCCATTCATCATTATACAAATCACATAGATACTTTTGTAACAACATGAGAGAGAAAAAGAGAAGTGCATATAAAAGCACAACTTGGTAACATGAAAAAGGAAACAAAGGCTTTGTTTAGATTCCAAGTTTTTTCACTCTCTCTCCATCACATCAAATGTTTGGATACATACATGAAGTATTAAATGTAGATAAAAAAAATAATTAATTACACAGTTTGATTGTAAATTACGAGACGAATCTTTTGAGTTTAGTTAGGTCATGATTAGACAATAATTGTCAAATACAAATGAAAGTGCTACAGTTCCAAATACTGATTTCCAACCATCATCTAAACAAGGCCAAACAAAGAGTTGATGTGTCTTTTGTTTTTTTTAATAAAAAAAACTGTGAAGGAAATGGAGGAGTACAGGGCGGAGCAATCGTCACAGGTGATGTAGACACGCAGTAACTAGCCATGAAGACAGACACGAGGAGGAAAAGGGGGTTGGCGCGGCCATTCTCCGTCCCATTCACTCCCCACCGTTGGTTTCACTTCACCCAGTCCCCGCCGCCCCGCCCCAGGCGAGTGAGTCTGCGGCGCTGCCAGCCACCAACCGGGCTGCTGCATTGGCATTGCCCTCGCTCACGGCTCACCTTCTTCGCCTGACGCCGGTAGAGGCCAGCAGCGCGCGCACGAGTGGGCGACCCACCCAGTGGCCATGGCGTTCCTCTCCCCTGGCGTCTCTGGTGCATCCACAGCGCCTGCGGCCAGCAACCACGGCACCATGGCTTGGCAGCCATCACTTGGCCTTATCCCGCGCGGCGCTGAGACAGAACGTGCCGGTATCCGCGAGACCATACATATGCCGAGAGGGGGGGGATGTGCCCTCCACTCCTCCTTATTCCTCTTAGGCCATATTTAGCGCAAATTCGCTGATATTATAAAAAAAAAGAACGTGCCGGTATCCGCGAGACCAAATGTTGATAAATCAAAAACCGAGAGAGAGAGGGGGAATGTGGACGCCTGCCACGATCAATTATTACCTAATTAGTTGTAGCTCTCCATTTTCCTCTTATCGGCCGAGCTTCATTTCATTCCCATGTGTCAGTGTGCACGCACGCTCACCGGACACCAGGCGTCCAGGCGCAGAGATGAAATAAGCATTAGCCCAATCCCTGCAAAAGTGCGCCCGGGATGAAGATGAACCCAGCCAGGAGCCATCCCCTGCAAAGGAAAGGCAGAGCCAGCAAGTTTACGAGTGCTTCATCATTGGGCTCCTGCACTGTAGATGCAGAGACTCTTCTCCGGTCCTCCCCATAACGGCTGCCCTGCCACTGCCTTGTTTCTTAAATAAATCCGCCCTGAAACCTCCTGCTGCACTCAGTAAAACACAATAACGTCACCAATCATCAAACGCGACGAGATCGACATCTTCAGGCTTGCAATGCAAACACACACACACAAAAAAAAATGAGTCCGTGCTGGCACATCATCTTGATCAGGATCATGTTGTATATAATATGCCGCACCGCATGCACCCGACATCTCCAGATCGAGCTGCAAAAGCAAACGGTGTGCAGCCGCGCGTGGGCATCTGCCATCCACGTTCTCTTCGTTCCAAGGATCCATCCAACCTTGCGACAGATTGAACCACCAACTGCGTCATGGGCACGTCACCATGGGGATGACGCCAAAGAAGCCCCCCTCCACTCCCCCCACATGACAGGTGGGTCCCGGGATTAGGTGGCCTTCCCTCACGTGTACTACCGGCACAGCTTGTTCGGCTTCTTTTTTCAGTCGAAACAGTGTTTTTCTCTCACAATAATTCAACCAGAACAGTGTTTTTCAGTCAGTTTTAGCCAAGTTTCAGCAAGCTGAACGGGTCGTGGTGGACTTGAGCCTAATCTTTCTCCCTTTGATGGCCTGCCCTGCCATAAAGAAGCAGAGAGCGAGCATGCATGAGAGTTGGGACACCCAAAAGGCAAGGCAAGGCAAAAGCGAGAGCGCGAGGGAAAAAGGAGCAGGGCAGGGTGGTGCCTGGACACACTGTGGGTGTGGGAGCAGCAGACTGGTGATTGTGCACCAAGGAAAATGGAATGGAGTGGTGGAGCCAGATCTTTTTCTGCTGGGAGCTAGCATGCATAGTTTGCTGGAAGATTCGATGTCCATGATTACGCTCGGCATCCTCATGAGGATAAGCATCTCGATAACAGGCCATTAGAGCAGTTCTGGTAGCTGATTATGTATTTGGCCTATGCTATTACTGAAGAAGAAGAATGGCATGGCCTTCCATTCTGATATCTATCTCTCTGCTCTTTTGTTTCTCCCTTCCACTCATGATCCCTTCATCTCTGTAGAATGGGGATAGCTTGTTTTTGTTGCCAAGAGAGGAAGGAGGAGGAGGGGTCGTCTTATTACCACTTGTGGCGCAACTTGTTCGCATGATCCAAGAGACAAGATCTTGTTTTGTGCTTGTAGTTTGCAATGATGATGATATATAGTGACTGCAAAGACAGGAATATAATTTAGCCCAGTTGATACACATGGAATTATTTGAAATGATTGATGTACTAATCGCTGGATTTTGCTTCTTCACCAAGTGATGCTCTTGTAGTACTAATAACTCACAAGTCCACACAAACTGTGCTGTGCAGCCTTTGTGGGCGCTATCTATCTATCTATCTACCTACCTATGTCATAATAATAATAATGATGTGGTCAAGAACCGTGGAGGAGCATGGCTTGATCGATCGACAAGGGTGACGAATGCATGACATGGGGAAGAGTGCACTCGTCACTCTTCACCAGCAGAGCCGCAGCATGTACAGGCCTACAGGGTACCTATATATTGGGGTGCCGGCACTTTATGTGACCATTGCTGCATTGCGCATAGCTAGTCTAACAGCATGCTGATGAGGTTCACCAGCAGATTAGAAAGTTGGATGACTAATACGAACTTATCAAGCTAGGCTACCAAACCGGAAAGAGAAAGCCAAAGCATGCATTATTAACTGGAACTGCAATATCTAGATTTACTCTTCTCAGGACAACAAATTGAAGGGTGGTGTTGCCACTAGACTTACTGCAAACATGATGCCTAGCTACTCCTGCTACTAGCTAGTTTTCTATGACCGGCCTTGCAAAAATCACAATCATTAGAACCTAACCATATTTTGAATGTATAAACCTCTTGACCTAATAATCTTTTTTTTTGTTTGTTTAGAGTGTAATGATTGGTTCAGTTCAAAATTAATACAATTTACATTCTACTGCACACTGCACATCAGGGCAGATATATAGGACTCCATCATGATCCGACGAATATACAGCTTGTTCGCTTTGTCATATTTGGCTTATCAACCAACGAACATTATTTTTCTCTCACACCAAATCAGCCAACAGTACTTTCAGCCATGGCTTATAAGTCAAACAAGCCCAAACGAACAGGACGATAATGTCTCCTCCTAATATCATTAGCTCCATCCACAAAAGAAAGAAATAGAGGGGGGGGGCACGAATTTCTTTCCTGTGTCAGCTGCAGCCGCCTCCAAAACCTCTCAAACCTCTCAACACTCCTTGACTTGCACGTCTCTCCCTCCCTCTCACTGAGCTAAGCCTAAGCTTGCCCACACCCATATGCTCCCTATAAAAGCACCACTCTATGACCGCCATGAACTACCTCCCTCATATTCACCTCGTCTCATTTCACCCTCTTCGTCACGCAGCTAGCATGGGAGGAGCTACCAACCTACCTCCTGGTTTCCATTTCTTCCCTTCAGATGAAGATCTCGTCGTCCATTTCCTCCGTCACAAAGTGGCCAACCTCCCATGCCACCCTGACATCGTCCCGACGATACTTCTGCACCGCTACGATCCGTGGGAATTGAATGGTTTGCACTCTCAGCCATCTCTCTATTGTTATGCATGGTGAAAATCGTGTGCTTACAACAGTTAATAATCTTCTTCCAAGGAACGGCGCTGCAAGCTGGAAACCAGTGGTATTTCTTTAGCCATGCCGCACAAAGCAGAACCTCTCCGAATGGGTACTGGAACCCCGTTGGTGCCGATGAAACAGTAACAAGCAGTGGCTGTATTGTCGGCATGAAGAAGACGCTCATCTTCTGCACTGGAGAGCCTTTCAAAGGTTTCAAAACAAACTGGATCATGCATGAGTACCACCTTCAAGATGGAGGATACAATGTCAGCGGTAGCAGCACCCCAAGTAGCTCAAGCTCCACTAGGAAATCCCAGAGGAAGAGACTTCACTCAAGCACGGTGAGTGATCTCGCTGTAGCGTATTATATTGCTTCTTGGCAGCCAGCAGCTTATATATGTGTGACGACTGACGGGGGTACACAAACCAATCAATGATCCTTTTGCAGGAGTCCAACAGCTGGGTGATATGTAGAGTGTTCGAATCAAGTTGCGGTTCACAAGTGAGCTTCCATGATGAGGGCACAGAGCTTTCATGCTTAGATGAGGTGTTTTTGTCGTTAGATGACTACGACGAAGTGAGTTTGCCAAATAATTAGAACCCTAGCTAGAAAGTAGAGCTCACGATAGGTTCTATGCCTATCAGGCCATTTAATTAATAACTGTGATGGTGATATCTACGTAAGTGGTTGCAAGTTGCATTTTGTATGATTCAGATGGCCTGATAGGCATCGAACTTAATCCAGTCTATCCTAAATCATTACCATGTAATTAACTATCATGCAATGGCCGGGTTAAAAGCTTGAGCTTGTGTCTGGTAACCATGACATGTGTCATATGTGTGTGAACGAACACAAGCCACTTATTAGCTAAAGATCAACTAACTTTCTCAAGCATTTGGTGGTTTAATTTGACTAATTTGCTGTGGATCATTGCTTGCTACTTGTGGATGAACAGACTGATGTAGAAATATGACCAGCAGATTGTTGATTTCTCCGAAACCTACCTTTGCATCTATGTGAAAAATGGTGTTTCACTCACGAAAAGAAGGGGACATTGAGAATTTGAGATACTTCTATTTAACAGAGATTAAGAACGAAAAGGTGGTTGGAGCATACGCAACCATCTTGCCATCTATGTCAGCAATAAGATAATTTTCAAGGTCACATGGTTGTACATCTATGCGGTATTGCGGTCACAAGGCAAGTTTGCATGCGGGAAGTAGTAGTACACCCATGAACAGACCAAACTTGCCAAACTGAAGTGCAAAGCCATGATTAGTTGCTCATTGCCTAATGATGGCTTTAGATCACTAATTGCAGGAGTCACTACACAGTAATTCAGGACCAATTTCACAAAAAAAAAGTAATTCAGGACCAAAAGATTTTTACAGCTCTAGAGCCGCCTAAACAGCCCCAAAACCCAGTAACGATAACCTTGCTAACTGTTTTACACAAACGCCTTGCCGGCTCAAGCTTAACACCTAGATCATACTGGTGCACAGAATGCGAGGACTTTCCTCTATAACTAACCCTTGTATCGTTTGAATTTATATTACTTCTTCATGATTCATGCATGCCCTATTGTCCTAATTTTCCTGACATCACGAACATGATAAAGGTCCAACATATAGAAGTGAATGGGGACACTTTAATTCTTCAAAGGATAAATAACAAAAAGATTAATTATAGCTATGTTAGTGGTATATACATGCTATCATTTTGATTGTTCCGTCATGATCTTTTTTCTTTTAGAATGTAACAGACTTTTTGAAGGGCGGGCCTGGTGCAAGCGGTAGAGTCTTAACGCCTGTGACCGGAAGGTCTCGGGTTCGAGTCGCGGTCTCCTCGCATTGCACAGGCGAGGGTAGAGCTTGCCACTGACACCCTTTCCCTGACCCCGCACAGAGCGGGAGCTCTCTGCACTGGGTACGCCCTTTAATGTAACAGACTTTCTAGTTGAAAGGAGAGCCTAGGTCTGTTAACATATTCAGCCAGATAGAGCACTTTACAATACAATAACTCCTAATTTTGAGATATGCATCGGCAACGTATACAAACCACATGTCCACATCTCAGTGTTGAGAACTGATGCATCTTGCTTGGGTCATATATGATATCAGCTTGCAATAACAAAAGAACATAAGAGTGACCATATCTTAAATGCAACATGCATGCTATCAATCATGCAAAACTAAAGAGTACCAAACCCAAAATTAAGGCATCAATGCAGTGATAAAAGTATAAAACCAACCATGCCAAGCACAAATTGCAGAGGCAAACACCTGAATTTCATAGACATCCAGGATACAAAGGACTGCGATAGGATCTTTTTTCACTTAAATTTGAGAGTGGAGCTGATGCAATACATTTAGTGCTTCAGAAATTCCTACAGCAGAGCAGCATATGTTAGCTTAGTATTTTCAGTTAAAGGATTTTTTTCGAAGAACCTTTTCAGTTAAGGAATTTGTCCAATACCTTATGTTTGAATGAACCATATCAGGATAATAATTCAATAGCAGTGTTCGTGAATCCTGATTCCTGACCCCACATAAAACAAGAGACTTTTTAATTTTTTACAGAACAAATGTCATTTTCTTCCCAAATGTTCAGTAGCAATGATTTTTTTGGTTTTCTGCAACTATGTTAAATTCATAACTTTAAACATAAAAAATCCAATTCATACCCTTAGATAGCAACAGCACCTTTTAGCAACAGTCTGAAAACTGAAAAGTAGTTGAACCTGCAACCTAGATTGGCATGGTTAAAATCTGATAGTTCACATTGCACTTCACTTGTATACACGACCAGAGATCACTTTACCTCCTCAAACCAGCTAATGATGCTAATGTTATAACCAATAGTCGAGATGCTCCATATTAACATCATTTACCCAACACTTTGAAGAGGACACATGCCTAACTCGCAAGTAGGGCCCCTGAAGTCATTTCAAAAGCTAACAACTTTTGAAATTATAAATTTGTATTAGCTCACCTACTAGCTTCAGTTGTTATGTTCATACCCCATTTACACGGTCATAGTTTTGGGGAGTTGGGACAATCCCATATTGGTTTCTGGTAAGAGGAATGCAACTTATAAGCAGGAGGTTGCGCACTGAGATAGCTTTTGAGGCATAGCTCAAATGTTTTTTTTTATGGCTGGTTTAACTAGTTTAGTAGCCCAAAGAGGCAAAAACCCAAACGCTCATTCATGGGACCACAAACAGATCCTTGCTTAGCAGTTTGAAGTCATACAGTGCTGTTTGTTGTGCAACAGGTATCAAAACTTAGGTACCCTCCTAACATCTCCCGTGAATTCCACGTTGTTGGAGTTAGCAGTCAACATTTGAGAGGGAAATCATTGCGATGGACGAACTTTATGATTGAACTTCCCTAACAACAGATGAGTTTTTAAATCCGTTGCATTTATCACCAGTATATCCAAGAAAGGGACAATTAACAAAGGATTATTAAATGAACTGTGTATTGGAGAAAAATACCAAACTCATACCTCATATCTCTAGAAAGTTTCTGAAAGCCATATGGCTACTTTCTTTAAACATGTTAAAAATAGACAACTTGGAAATCCAGAAATGGATTAAATGCCTGTAATTGTCAAAAAGTACAGATGATCTGCCTACAATGGTGACATAACATTATCTAATCATGTGTGGATGCAGTGTCCAACGGGGACACATCCATGCATTTACTGCTTTTTCCTAGGCACTAATTGTGCCTATGATATGCATAGTGTAAGTTCACTCCAATCCTGTCAGACACTCAGACTTATCAATGTAGGATGAAAACAGAAAATATCAGTCAGAGCTTGGAAGCATTCAGAGTTCTTAACCAATCAGTTGTATATATATTTGGTATGTTACAGATAAATAGAGCTTCTCTTGTGCAGTTGTGCCCCAAAGTCCATCCTAAGCAGTGTGCTAGCTAATTCTATGTGCACATGAACTGAGAGAACATGTAAAAGTTGTAATGTAATATGGTACATGGTTCTCCATTAATTATTTCTGAATCATGAAAAGTGGCCCGAAGCTAGCAGCTTTTTTGAGGGGTGGGGGAGAGAAAAGAACTTTAGTTGATCCTGCTTCACCAATTGGTCCCCCATTATCAATCATTCAGATTTTTTGCACCACAAGTGTAGAAGCTTTAACAGTTAGAAAACAAAAGGGTCACATTAAACACTACACTGTTACATGCACATGACAATTGATCCATTCAGAATGTTTGATATGATTGTAACCATGCTACTTGCTTTCAACCACCATCTTTAGCCACTAGGCTAGCTTGGTGGGAAGCGTATCAAAACTCAAGTCTAATTTGGCATTGCAGGTTTGCAACCTTTCGATATGCTGACCTGGGCTATTTTCAGCATAGGGCTCAATTAAGCCCATTACACAATTTGGTTTTTCCCCCATTCCCTTGGTCAGAGTCAGACATTCTTACACTGGAGTTTATAGCACAATCTTCAATTGCCCATAGTGTATGTGTGGGATGAATTGTACCAATTATTTAGAAAAACATGATCTTCAATGATCACTAATCCTCCTTTTGTGCAGTTCATAGTTTTACATCCTCTGAGCTTCAGCCTAGCCAACTAAATAGCCTGGTCAAATCCTCAGTATCACATACAAAATTCGACCGACTCAGCGAGGAATTTTGCCCCGAAAACAAAACCTGCGCTGTGTAAGCTCCCCATGAGAAATCAGAATATTCGTGCACACACCAATGCAATTTGAGGTTTGAGCATTTCAGTCCCTTCTTGCATTTGCTATCTAGCCTAGCTAAATCATATAAAGCCCTCAAAATCAAAATGAAGCATATAATTTCGGCCACCGTCACAGATCGAATAAACCCACTGGAGTAAGGAATTGCGGACTCTAGGAGCACAAATCGACATATAGAATCACGCGGCATGGAAAAAAATCGAGCGGCCTATATGCAGTTATGCCGGAGATGGAGAAGCGTTAGAGGTAGGAAAGATCACCTGATAGAGAAGGCGCGGGCAGAAGCTAATCGGGGATAGGATAGGGACATGAATCTCTTCGTAGAATTCCTAGGATCGCTGGCCGCCGGCGAGGCGACCGAGGCGTAGGGTTTTTGGAGGGGGATGCCGGACGGGAGGGCCGGAGAGGACGGGAGGTTCCGATTAGTTTGAAGGGAAATCTTGCCGTAGGAAAAAAAAAAAAGGTAACATGCCATGTACACCGCAACCAGCGGAATTTTTTCTAGTACCATTATAAATTTAGGGTTCCATGGCACACCATAACCAATATTTTATTCATTTCTTAGATTCGTGGAGAGAGAAGACATGGGAAATGACTTTTTTGTCCTCGTCTTCAACTTTCGCCCGTTTGCTTATTTTTGCTTAAACACATCGTCACCGTCTTTTCTTCTTTCTGTGACACCCGCGACCGCAACGCCGGGCATCTCCACCACAGTTGCCGTCTCCAGTAACGTGGTGGTGGCGTCGTGTACGGCGGCTGACGGTGCTGCAACGCACCGCGACCCGCTCTCACACGCACCGAGTCCGCCATTGACGGCGTGCTCGAGCCCTCCGCGACCGCCCTCTCCTCTCTCTCCCTCTATAAAGGGCACCCGAGCTCCGCAAAAGTATGTCGCCACCACTCCGCCCATCCCAGTGCCTCCTCCATCTCTCCAGCACCCAAAGCCGCCGCCGCCGCTGCCATTGCCGACCCAAGGTCGAGCTCTGAT